CCCCCAAATAATATGAAGTTTCGAACCGGAGGCACTCGAAGCAGAATTATCAAGGAAAAGTGGGCAAGTATGGTGTTCCTTCTTAGTGAAAGCCTGGTCCTTCGCTTTTGCTGTATACAAACCTAACTATCAACCTACTCTACATAGTTTTGCTTCTTTGTAGTTCTTCAGTTCCTGTTTCTTCTAGACTGAGGTCGCAGTTTTTTTGTGTGTTGATCATTTGCTTTTCTGCCAACCGTTTGCATAATATATTATACATTATGTACTAATATCAACAGAAAGAGAGTGCGCGTATATGTGTGAAAAGAGAAAGAGAAACACAGGGGGAGAGAGAGAGAGAGAGAGAGAGAGAGAGAGAGAGAGAGAGAGAGAGAGAGAGAGAGAGAGAGAGAGAGAGAGTACACACGGAGAGTGGAAAATATTACAATTTCTTTTTGAAGGTGCCAGGAAATCATAGAGGCGAACTGTATCAAGGGAAAGAGCTCTATATACTCAAGGGGGAGAAAAATAGCCTTGTTATGTCCCTTCATGTGCTGAATGCAAGAATCTGAAACGATGTTGTGAACTCCCCTTTTCTACCTTTGTCAGCTTTGTTTTTATTTCCTTGTCGTTGGTTTGTTGCGATCATTTTTTGTAGTTGTTATTTGTTTCATTACCTCCCTTCTCAACGGCCAAGCGGCCATTTCGAAGGCAGAGCTTTGACCACCCGGTCTGAAGAAATCGTATGAAAAGAAGGAGTAAAATTCTTCGACTTGAACATAATTCAGAACTCTGCATAATATATCCATCTGTGCCTCAGTGGCCCACTTACATGAAGTTCGATATGTGCGTTTAGGCTCATGTTTATTTACACAGTGGAATCAAATTATGACATCATGGTGAAATCAGGCACTCCTCACAATAATGAAATCGAAGAAACCGACATTTTCCCGCCTGATGGGCAATTTTTATCGATATTTTAAATTTTTTTTCGGGGGGGGGAGGCTCAACACTTGTTTCCTCCGTTTTTAAAAAACAGTCCTGTGTAGATTTTACTGAATGACGTTAATCAAAGACACAAACAATGAACATTTTATATTTCCAAGGACACTAAAACTTTGGAAGTCCTCAAACTTTGGTGGCCATTTATTTGCTAATTTTAACTCCGACGGCAAGCAACCCCCCATCTCCTTCAATGGCAAATATCTCAAGATCTTTTCACGATAGATTGGTATTTTTTTTCGTTGAAAGCAAGGCAAATGAACAGACTTTAAGTTATACCAATTACTCGACCTTATGCCGAAAACACTTATTAGAGCTTGATTCCACCATGTCATGACGCAATTCAGTTTGACAAGACTAAAATTACAGTAATAATATAATAACCCACAATTTGTTATACATGTATTTTGTCATTGCTCGGATTATTCTCTTCACCCTTACTATTTCTTTGCTAAACCTGTTCATAAAGAAGAATGAAGGTTTTTTTAAACTTGCTGCTTTCATTTTTAAAATTTTATTTTTTATCTTTTATTATTTCTAATAATTATTTTTGGAGACAGAGTATCGTTGCTGCAGTTGTTACTTCTCTTTTTGCTGCGTTTGAGTTTGTGAGAAAGCTGTATTTGTCGTCGTTATTTTGATAATATTAATGTTAATTTTGTATGTGACTTTTAACAATTACTTTGTTTGATTCTTAAACGGTTTGCATTTTCCTGCTTCATTTGCTCACTGCCTTTGCTCCAATCGTTCTCAACCCACCCCCTCCCCCCAACAAAGAGAGAGAAAGACAGAAAGAAAGAAAGAAAGACAGACAGAAAGAAAAAAAAGAAAGAAAGAAAGAAGGGAAGAAAGAAAGAAAGGGAAGAAAAAAAGTATGAAAAGAAGTAAGTAAGAAAATGGAAAGATACAAGGAAGGGGAAAAAGAAAGAAAGAAAAATTCATTATCAGGTGTGGTAAATGTCCCCTGTTCATCCCAACACAATCCAGTCAAATGAATAATTACACATAGCTCTTACTTCAAGAGTGTTCAGCTCAAAACATGATCTTCCCGTTTCGTCTCT